TAAATTATCAAAAATGGGCTGGCTTTAGTCTCTTAACAAATTGGACAGAGCTCCGGAAAGCAGCAGTCCCAAATCCAACCTACAGGCACTGGGAACTTTAAAGCAACCAGGGACTGCTGAAAATAGCACTTCTTTTTGCTTTCTTTGTATTCAAAACTATATCCTTTCCCAACCGATTCTGCTGCCCCAGGTCCAGGTCTCTCCAGTCAGGAGCCCCAGCTCTCCTGAACAGTAACAGATCCTTTAGCTCGCTTTTATTGTTTTATTTTTAAAATTAATTATTATTACATTTTCTCCCCCTTGTTTGTTTTCTGCACATCTTCAGGAAGCCCTCGGTGCTTGTGCAAAGAGAAGCTCCTATTGCAACCTCCCTCCCTGCGCTGTGCGCCTCGTTGTAAACGTTTTGGATGATCTAAAGACTCTGGGGTCTGTATATGGAAATAGTGGGGTGCAGAGCAGAAGAAAATACTTGTCCTTTCCGTCCCCCAGCCATGCTTTTCCACGGGATCTCCGGAGGCCATATACAAGGAATCATGGAGGAGATGGAGAGGCGATCCAAGACCGAGTCCCGCTTGGCCAAAGGGGGACAGATGAACGGCCGAGAAACGGTAAGAAAGGAGCTGGCACTGTTTGAAAGGGAAGCCTGCAAGCATGGACCCGCGGCGTGACAGACCCTGTCTATGGGGAAGAGAAAGGCGCTGCTTCCCCCTGCCCTTTCCCCGCCATCCCTTGCTTGTCGAGACCCTTCCGAGGCTCCCTGTGAACCCACCCATACCGCTGGGTGCTGTGCTGGTCAGGCTCGGTCACACATTTGTCTGACCAGCGTTGCTGCGTGTGCTCTCTGGAGTAACGGGGAAAAACGTTTTCAATCGTAACCGGGAGGGTTTTTCAGCCCTTGAGGTGAAGCTGCTTTCTGCCTCCCGCCCGGCTCGCTGCAGCCGCTCTGTCCCGTCCCAGCAGGGATGGAGTTTCTGAGCTGAACTTTACTCTTTTTTTACACTCTTAGCACCTCCTAAATTAAACCGCAAACCGCGACCGCTTACTTTTCGTAACCATTTTTGGTCTTAAGTTTGGGACTGATACAAAGAGGCACTGCTCTCTGAACGTTATGCCTGCCGGCTACTTTGCTTAGCTGTAACATCTCCACTTTTATTAGTCCAAGGACCAAAAATCATAAATGCACTAAAGGACGGCAGAGAAGGCGAGTGTCACGCTGTGTTTTGTGCAAAGCGAGATCTCCCTCTCCCCAACTTGTAGGGCTTCCGCCGGCCGCGCACAAGACTCTGCACACAAAGTAACGGCCTGGAAAACTGCTTTAAGGCTTTGAGCCACAGGGTCCTTCCTCCCTTCTCTTAAATAAACTCTCGCTTTGTTATATGAGGATTTGCAATGTAAATTCAACTCGCCTTTTCAACTGATGCAAAAAAGAGGGGCGGGGGACACAACTTCAGATCGCAAAGCAAATGCGGAGTTGCCACTTTAAAACAGTGGTGACTTTAGAAGAGGACGGTCAGGATTTTTCCCTGTTAGTTTGTCAGCAAGCGCTGCCCCAAGTTTCAGGGCAGAGCTTTTGTCTCCGCCGTTCTCTGCGTCCCTTTGTCCCGGCGACACTCCTCGTGGGGAGTAGATTAATGGGGACTCGCAGAAGTTTGCTGATGTAAAGATGCCAGTTTTAGCTGAAACCAGCCTGTGCCACCGTTCTGTCCACGTTTCTGGTCGGGGTGGTGAGCGTTCACACTCACTGCTTTTTACACCATTCACCTGCCTACTTTCTTTTACTTCTGTTTTAAATGGCCTAGTTTTCTTTAGAGACGGGGTTTTGCCTGGTTTAAGCACGGGTGAAAATTTACCGTGAAATCGGCGCAAGTCTGCACCCTCTGCCATAAGCTTTGGTGCAGCAAACCGGTATTTTGCGACTTTAAAATGCTGTTCTTGAAGAGCGCGCTTAGACTAAAATGCCAAAGTAGCTGGGAAGCTGCAGGCTTCCACTCTGGGACCCCGGGAAAGAACGGGCTCTGCTTTGCCTACTGAGGCCTAACCAGTTGCCTTCACATATTGAAATGCATTAGATCGTTAGGAGAGGTTTAATGGGATAAACAGGAAAGTTGAATCGCGGTAAATGCTTTCCTAGCGGCGATGGTCCCGGTACACCCTCAAACTTCCCTCCGGGAGCAGACAGTCTGGTCCCAGAGCACAGTCTCTTTGTGCAAGCCCCGGGCCCTGCGCAGGACCCCGTCTCCAGCCCGGCCTGCCTGCCTGCCTTTCTCTCCCTGTCTCATCCCCTTGTGGTGTGGTTGTTTTGCAGAACATGCCCCCCATGAGCCCCGAGAAGCCTGCTTTGTGTGCTGGTTGTGGAGGGAAGATCTCAGACAGATATTACCTGCTGGCTGTTGACAAACAATGGCACCTCAGGTGTCTTAAATGCTGTGAATGTAAACTGGCTTTGGAGTCAGAACTCACCTGCTTTGCCAAGGACGGCAGTATTTACTGCAAGGAGGATTACTACAGGTACAGCAATCAGTCCCCATGGGTTCAAAAGCACATCCCCTCACGAGGCATTGTGAACCGAAACGCTCTTTTCTCCACATGGGCTTTCAAAAGTAGCTTTTCGCAGTCAGTGATTCCTTATTCCCGTAAACGTGTCCCCTCCGAAAAATCTCGCAAGTTTAAAACCTGAACGGATGGACAGGGGACACGGCGGCCGAACGTGTGTGACGGTTCGCAGACGGGCGAAGGAGAAGACCTCGGGTCTCCCGCTGCTCTGCGGTTTCCCTCCGTAAATACCAGCGTAAAGACCCCACAAAAGTTTCCCTCTGCCCGCAGCTTGCCGGTTCTTCCTCGGACCGGGTCCCGGGGCTGGCGCGGCGGGAGGAGCTGCGAGGCGCGGTGGAGCCCAGCCCCCCGCCCAGCCCTGCGGAGGCTGCTCTGCGGCCGGGCCCGCAGCGGGCACTGCTCATCCCTGCGCTGCAGCCGTGCCAGGGCTCAGCTCCCCACCGCCCTTCTCGTCTTTACACGAGTGCCAGGAGAGCGGGGACCGATCTTCCCCGCTCCGCCTTTCTCCAATCGCACGGGCAGCGGGGGTCTTTCGTGTGCCAAAAGTCCTAAGCCACCAGGTCGGCCGGGCAGCAAG